AGAGTATCATGTACATACAGTTACCATTATTTTAGAGGTATTGTTTTGCATGCGGTACAGTAATCGTTTTGATGAGCAAAAGTGATTTATGGATTTGACTTTGTTTTTATGATACTTTAAGAGTGCTTGTAAATGAATTTGGCGTTTCCGTTAGTTAGTAGTCCAAAGGTGAACTAACCCTTTATCCTGGGTAACTCTGGTTTGATAAGACACAGCTCATGCTCCTTTAAAATACAAACAAATTGTCAGTTTTGTTCTTTGCTCTTAATCTAACAGGTGAGACTTAAATGCACAGATTGAAATGGGTTGAAGTACCACCTATAGCACTGCTGTGCCATGCTGCAGACCTGTGGTAGTGTTTCCTTGGGAGTTCATACACCCAAACTTTTTCCACTCAGTTTAACAGATTGGATCCTTCTCCCTGCCAAACAGGGAGCTGCCAACTTTCCTGCTTGTATGGGTTTCTTGTGACTTTTCTCTTAAAATATTTTGTGCTTTCTTTAGACATTCTTAGTAAGAGAAATGTGAGCATTGATTGATTTGTGGAGAGATGCCTGTGTTGATTTCGTAGAAGTTGCTGCAGAAGGAAGTACTCTCATAATTTCCCACTTCTCAGAATGGTGAAACCTGATTTTTGTATGAGAGTATATATTCTGACATCGCTTACTCTGCATCTGTTTTTCAGCAAAGTGTCTGATTCCTGAACAGAGTATCTGATTTCTGTTTGCCATAGGATTGTATATTCCAGTGTATCCAAGACTGGAATTGAGCTGCACAAGTGTATCAGATTTTAAGGATTTGAATCATTAGCGTGCTTTGTGCATAAATACTTGTCTTCTTTTTGCAGAATTCAAAATTCTGCCATTCAGCATTTTCTTACATGATTGAGGGTTTTTTTGCTGATGATGGAATCGTGCTGAGAGGGAGCGAGCAAGAAGAATTTCAGGTGTCAGTTATAAAGTAAATATCAGTGGGATTTATCACTGAACAATACAGACAGCTACCTTTGATTTAGAGTAGAGAAGTTACCTGACCTCAACAAAAATAAAGCCACACAAACACAGGCATGCATAGAATTGCTACAAATCTAAGGTGGTTCCTTTAGTACAGTGAGCTAGTAGCAGGGCTGAGGGCTTCCATAATCTCTTACCATCTGATTTAGTATGAGATTTGTACTCCGGGTTGGTTGGTTGCTAATCTTGCTAGTCATAGTTTCTAACCTCTTTTTGCTTTTCTCGAACCAGCATAGCTAATCTGCTGCCTTTAGGCACTAACCGTATTCTACCTCTTTTCCTCTCTTCTGTTCCTTTTTGCGCTTGCCACCAGTTCTTCACTTTTTTACTGGGGCTGATACCCCAATATTATAATCTTAAAAGCACACAGACAAGGGAAATTAAATATACATGGTTTGTGGAACAAGTGAGCTGAGTGGTCCTATGAAATAAAGTATGGGAAGGTAGGGGTGGTTGTGGGGGTTTTTTTTCTCAGCTCTTAGTATGTTGTTACTATCTCCAGCCTCCTCATGGAGCATTCCTTTGTAGAAGCTGACTTTTATAGGCAACTATACCCCAGATTATTAATTAACATAATAAATCAGAAATATGAAAAAGAGCGGCTATTTCTGTGATAGGAAAAAAAAAAAACCCAGTTCAACTATATTGTTAATCAGTGAGTATACTGTAAGCGTAAGCATAAAATGTTTGAACACAGTGGTAAAGGAACATGTCCCCATTCAGCATAACTAGGAAGATGCTGTGTTTTAAGAGAAGCTTAATCTGGAAACAGCATCTACCCTGAAGGTGCCGTATTGCTGTACAGGAGGTCATCTTACAGGAACACAGGAATGGTGAAAGTGCAACCTTGCATTGCTTCAAGGTCAGTTAGTGGCGAGAGAATACCCAGCTGCAGGGTCATGCTCAGAGTGCACAAAAAATGCAGCTGAGATTGTAACTGTAAAAGGGAAATGTAATTAATGCTAATACAAAAATCAAGAATTTATGAAACGTTAGGGTGAAATATTCACAAAACCATTCATAATTCAGGAAATAGGGATATGGAAATAGAGAAATTAAGTTGTGTCCTCAGGAAGCATTGTTTTGGATGTCTGTAAGAAGTAGGACTTGGCAAATCTATGTATAGTCACAGTAAAGAAAAATTCCTGGGCTAGCGAGGATACACTGAACCTAAGGTATCAACAAAAGTAAACATATTTTAACCTATTAGCTGTGGTGGTAATGTGTGTGTGTGCATGTAACGTTTTGTTGCTGGTTGTTCTATTTTGGCAGCAATTCTTATGTCCTGTGTGTTTTCATGTACCCATCTGAGGTGTGCTCAGTTGTACAATGCAGTAGCTCTTAGTTCTTCACTGTTACGCAACCCACATGCCAACAATCTTGAACTGGAAAGATGTTAAATTGTAGAGCAGGTACAAATAATACATCTTGCAAAACAGTAGGATTGCGAATGGCTGAAATAACACTGTAAACAGGTTTGTGTTTTGAAACAGAAGGGTGAACTGTCTTAAAACCCAAATGCTGATTTGGCCTGCAACAAGAATGATTCAGCGGCATGTAAGTGTATGGTAAGATTTGGAGGGAAAAGGGGTCCTGCTGTTCCCACTTTGCTGATTCTTTTCCTTAAGCTACATTTTGCTTTTGCTCCTACTATAAAATTTCAGAGAAAATCTAGTTCGTATTCACAATAACTAATATTAACTTCACAATAACTAATGCTAACTTCCCCAGATCTGCAGTGCAGAAGGCAGGGAATTCTCTTGTGATTGGGCTCTGCAGCACTTTGGGTGTTCTGCCCGAAGGATCCGGGTGCAGCCTTTTGCAGCACAGCAGAAAGCTGCTGCTGTCACAAAAGCACTTTGAGGAACAGAGGGGGAACTTAAAGACTTTGGCTGCCTGTCTCAGTTGTCTGGGCTGCAGCAGTTCGAGTCACACAGGACTAGGTCTATCTAAAGTGATGGTTTAAATAGTGTTAGCCAAGCCTCTGCACCAAATGCAAGCCAGCAAACTGCTGATGAAATTCTGAGGTGGATTTTGGAAGTTGTGTTGAAATGCACACTGGACCCTATGCAAGGATGATGCTCCCTGGCATAACAGTATAGTAATCCCAGGCAATTCTGAAATTTTGTCGTCTTCAGTGTCTAATGATCTCTGATTTACTGAATGTTAATGGTACAACTTCCAGTACAAATTATTTAGACTGCCTTTAATTGATGTCCTTGCTTCCTTTACCTTATTTTATGAGAAAGGCTAAATGCCATCAGTGGTTTTTCTGTATGTATTGTTCAGTATTTTATCTACTTCTGTTATGTTCAGTAAATTCACCTCCTTTCCAAACAAAATAATGTTAATCTTTTAAATCTCTCCTTCTATAAATGACTGTCCCTGGTTTTAATCTGTTTATGACATTCTCTGGTACTTCTCTGCTTCTGATACATCTTTTTTTTTAGATGGATGCTGTTAGTGAGCACGTCATTCCTAGAGAGGTCATGCCATACGTTTATGTAATGGTATAATATTTTAAACCTGCATTAAAAAGAGATGGTTGTGAATATCTTTATTTGGTTTACTTTGTTCCTGAAACTGACTAGTAATTGTTAGGCCTTTTTTTGGCAGAAGTTTCAGTCAGTATAGATCTCAAAGGTGAGAAGTAAAAATCTTTGTCCAGAGCAAATGTTCATGTCTTCTGGTGGTTGCTCTGACTTCTGTCTGGGGATTGGAGACCCTTTTGGAGCTTTGCCCTTCAAGGTGATATGTGCAACTTGTGCTGTTTCTTGAGGCAGTGGCCTTCTTCAGGTCTTCCACACTGCTTTTGAAAGTGTGGATATCCATATCTTCCCAAGTTTGTCTTCCTAAATATTTATTTATTTACTTATTTATGGTTTCTCATAATGGAGATACCTTAAATTTTGCCTTTTTTTTGGGTAGCAGGATATCTACTGATGCACTTCAGTGAGACCACATTGCTAAAACCTTCATTTTTTGTCGATTTCCAAGATGAAGGCCAGTGGTTGCTCGACTGGGGTGCTTTAGGACAACTTACATCTCTTTATTATGAAGTCCAGGCTGCTCTCTGCCTGCAGTTTGTGCATCTATTGTGCATTTATCCCCGCCTCCCCAAGGCTCTGCCCTGTATTCCATTCCTGCAGGAGATAAAAGAAGACCTTTAGTTTCCACTTCTTTGTAAGCTATACAAAGATTTTTTTGCTGTTGCAGTTTGTCAGAAATCTCCAGGCATTGAAATGACCGCTTGAGGACAATGAAAAAGAATTAACTGAATGTATGCGTTTACTTAACTAGAAAGGTGCCTTACAGTCAATATAACATTAGAATAGGTAAAGGATAAACTGGTATATAGGTTGGCACATGTATTTAAGATACGAAAGTGTGGGGGGAAAAAGTGCTCTGCAAGTACCACAAAGTTTAAACTTCACAGACATGACCAAACATTGAAGAAATAATGTATAAAACATGAAGAAACTGATGTTTGGAACTGGAGTGTGAGTTAAACAATATGCTAGAGACCTGTGTAGTGTGGACGGAGGTTTTTAAAAAGTATCACCTTGTTGTAGAATGATAGAATTTCAGTTCCTCCTAGATAAGCTTTCAGTTTTAGAGGAATTCCATAACTGTATGGCACCAGGCAAATTGCATTTTGCCTTTATGATTACTAAAATTATCTACTGCTCTTCATTAAGAGATTTAGAAAATGTGATAATTGTATGAAGACGCTAATAAAACCTATATATAATATATGGGGTTTGTATATATAAAAAAACCCTATCTATATTATAGATTTTTTTTTAATATGTATAATTCTATAAAATTCTTCTTAAAAGACCTTTGCCAGACTTCCAGAGAAAGGGGCCTAAATGGGAAATTTAACTCTGCATAAACATAGCTGTAGCTCTTTGGACACAGGAATGCAGATGTACACTCTTCATTTAAAGCAATGTTAATTCATTCCTTTTATTTATATAGGTATATCTGAACCTTCTTTTATTGCTAAAAGTGAAGATCGCTTGTTTAAACATTTATTTGAAGACTATCAAAGATGGGTTCGTCCAGTGGAGCGCTTGAATGACACAATAAAGATCAAGTTCGGCCTTGCAATCTCTCAGCTGGTAGATGTGGTATGTGTAGTGTATTATTTGGGCGTTTTGTTTGCTTGTTTGTTCTCCTAATTCTTAATTCCTATTCTGGAATTAATTAATTCTTTAATTTTTATTCTGCAACATAATGTAATATGAAGTAACTGTGCATATTTTAGCTTAAACACAATAGATTAAACCTCTACAATTATTAGCAACGTAATAAAAAAATGTATTGTAGATGAGGGCAAATGAAGTGACAGCAGAGGCTGAGAAGGCAAATGGTGGTGGCTTTTTAGTGTGTGTGTGTGTGTGTGTGTGTGTAAGTCAGTGAAATTCTTAAGCCCAGGGATTTGTGTTTTTATTTATTTATTCAATGGGAAAACCTCATAATTTTAAACTTTATCAGTCTAATGTCTTTAAAATTCAGGAATACTTGCAAGCACTGCTTTCCTTCCCCCCCCCCCCCATTTTAAGCCGAAAAAAACCCCTAAGCCTTCATAAGCAGCAAAAAACCCTTAAGCCTTCAAATATATCACTTCCACAATAAGGAGGAATATCTATTGATATTACCTGTGATAGAGATCAACCAGATTTTTTTGTTTTCCACTTCAGAATATTTTTTCCAAGTTGAATTCACTATTTGTAACTGTAAGAGGAGTTTTTCTTCCAGATGTTGGCTGTTCCTTTATGTTCCCATAGAAAAGCAGTAAGGCTGCATAAAATACGCTCAAATAAAGAAAATGGAAGGAAGGAAAGAGACACAGAAGGGGACACACATCACTATTAACAGTTGAATAATCAAATGTCATAATTCCAGTGACTGAGATGTTTTTAGAAGTGTGGTTTGCATTTTAAGTTGCAGATCTCTGTGAACTAAAACTAGTTATTATGAATGTACTATGCAGATCTTTGACATCAAATATGCTTTATTTTTATAGGATGAGAAAAATCAATTGATGACAACAAATGTCTGGTTGAAGCAGGTATGTGTCAAATAGTGATGGAAAATTATGAGCATCCTAAGTGTGAGTCAGAAGTTGGAAGAAACTTTTCTAATTCATTGTATATTCGAAAAACCTGATCCATTGCATGAATTTTTATTTTATATAGTTTCTTTAAAAACAAGTCCCTGGAAATGCTTTAAAGGATTAATGGTTAGGAAACTCTTAAGAACCCAATCAAACAAAAAAGACACTTATAAAAAAAATGACAATGTGAAGAAATCTGATATGGCATTTCGTGGCCATTTAATGTTCCAAGGTGTGTGTGTATCCAGCCATGAAAGTTACTGCTGCAGTACAGTTTTCTTTCTTTATTAAAAAAAGGATGGGTTTGTGTAGTCTTTGAATACAAGTTTTTTAAGATCTTCCTCTTGTGGGGTATTTGAGATTTATCAGATAAACATCACTGAAAAATTTCACTTTTGAAGTTGTATATGTTTGCTATAAAGAGCTACTTTTTCCTTTTAAGAATATTTGTGTGTGGGCAGGAAAAGACCTCAGGTTTTATATTAATCAGAGTCCAGTGATAAACTAAACAGCCACTTTAACCTGGGAAATGCTGCTTACGAATCATTCTTGATTTAACTTAGAAGAATGTTTGCACACCCTGATTATACTTACTAGCTTCCTAAATTATGTTTGCTTGGGCTACTTCCTTTGGTTTTTTCCCTCCCTGTCGCTTACCATCCCCTTCTTTTCCAGTAAGTGTAATTTCAGGCCAAGTTTTTCTTTTCAGGAGAGCGTTGAGACTATTCAGTGGTGAGGCACTGGAACAGGTTGCCCAAGGAAGTTGTGAATGCTCCAACCCTGGAGGTGTTCAAGGCCAGGCTGGACAGAGCCTTGGGCGACATAGTTTAGTGTGTGGTGTCCCTGCCCATGGCAGGGGGGTTGGAACTAGATGATCTTAAGGTCCTTTCCAACCCAAACTATTCTATGATTCTGAGAAGGCAACATGTCGATGAAAGCACTTTGTGCCCTCTTAAGTGTTTCTGCAGAACTTATTGCAGTTGAATCAGTTCAAATAAAACAAGAACTGACCTAATTACGTGTTTAAAATTCTATGTGATGGTAAATTCTTAGAAACTTGAATTTTTCCTCTTGAGCTTTTAGTTCAAATATAAAATTACCAAAGTATCACTGTGTTTTTAATGGGGCTATTTTTAGTGTTGCTGGTAGAAATAGGAGCAACTATCTTGTGAGAGTTGCAACATGATTTTTTATGTGATGAAAATGTAACTTAAGTTACTTCTGATCAGCTTCCAAAGTCACTGGTATTCATTCAGAATATATGTCTATAAATATTGTATACACAATATTTAATTGTTTATAAATTGTAATAGCTCTTACTGTGTATACATGCTCTAAAAAAAGATTTTAATATCCTAAGTTTGGTACAAAAATACTGTCAAGTGGCTCTTACAACAGAAAACAAATAGCAGATGAAGTAAATAGCTGTCTGTTCAGCAAACTCACTGTGGTAAAATTCACTCACTGTGGATTTTAAAAGCCAGTTTGATTCTTTTTTTTTTTTTTAACTGCATTTTAATGTATTTTCATCCAGTCTTGCCCTGCTTAAATCAACTTCACAAAAATAATGATTTTTACATCTCTTATACCCACAGGAATGGATAGATGTAAGATTAAGGTGGAATCCTGAAGACTATGCTGGAATAAGATCTATTCGTGTCCCATCAGATTCTATTTGGATTCCAGATATCGTGTTGTATGACAAGTAAGATTTTAATCTTTTCATATAAAATGCATTTACTTCTAACTTTACTATCCAAGCTGCTTCTAAGAGGCTCATTGGGTAGACAAGGGCGTACATTCAGTAGAGCTAAAAATGTGGGGAAACTTTGCCTCTGCAAATGGATTTGGTTGTCATGTTAAATGCTTAAATGTTTTGCTTTGCTTCTGTATCCAATTTCTAGTCTCTCTGAAAAGTTCATTTCTACTTCTTCATGCAAACTCTCTTCAATTAGAAAACCATGTGTTGCACAGTGTGGGTACAAACTAATAGCATAGAGTCGTGGGAGGGAAGCAACTAAT